GTTCTAGTACCCCGTTCTATAATTGAGAGCTTGACTAGGTTCATATGATGTGTTTTGACTTGAATGTATGGTTGGTTTTGGTTTCAAGATGTTTAGGAATAATTTGAATTACTTAGTTCATAACTAGAGGCTAAAAGTTTGAAAGAGTTGACCAAAATTAACATTTTATGAAGACAAGCTCAGATTGGTAATTTAAATATTTTAATAGATTTGTATGATGATTTTGGACTTGTACGTATGTTTGAATCAGGTCTTGGGTGGCCCGGGAAAAGATTCATCGCTTTTGGTTGAAGGTTGGAAATTTGAAAGACTTTAGAGTTCATAAGTTTGACTTAGAATTGACTTTTGTGTTATTGTACTTTGTTTTGCATTTTGAACCTTTGGATAGGTCCATATAAGCTATTTAAATTTTTGGAATAATTTAGAGGTGATTCAAAGGGTTTGAAAGTGATTCGGACCTATCTTGCAAAATTTGAGGCTTGAAGAACTTAAGGAAAGTTTATGTTTGGTTGGATATTGATTCTTTGTTATAATATTTTTTTGATGTATTTTGAGCCCTTAGTTAAGTTAGTATAGAATATACTGACTTGTTAAAATATTTGTATGGGATCCCTTGGAGCTCATATGAGTTTCGACGTATTTAGAAGAAGTGAATTGCAGCTTTTGAGAGAAATCTGATGCGGCACACAAGACACTACATTGAAGTGCCTGTAGCACTACAACCAGCAAGGCAAAAAGGACCAGGGCCCTGGTCACCGTGTTGCAGTACCCGTGGCGTTAAAATTAGATATGTAAGGGGCAAATTTCGGACTATTTTTCTCGATTTTTTTTCTTCCACTTTAAGAGACTTGGGAGCTCGATTTTGAGAGGTTACCTATACCTTCATCTACAAGCTTGAGGTAAGTAATTCTAACATAAATCTATAGTACATACATAAATCTATCACTAGATTTAATATCAAACATCGGATTAAACAAGAGAAATTAATGTTTTCATCCAAAAGTTAGAAAAATATATTTTAAGGATTTTGAGTCTCGATTTGGTGTTGGATTTAAAAACTAATCATATATTTGGACTCGTGGGATTATGGATCAACGAGATTTGAGGACTCAATTTTTGATCATGTGGGCCCGAGTTAACTGTTTGTTGACTTTTGAGAATTGATTAAAGATTAAAGCTTTATTATTTGGAGTTAGTTTTTACAACTTTATTTGGCCTTGTTGATTAATCTTTGAAATAGATTGGGTTCGTTTAATGAATTTAAAGATAGAAAAAGCGGATTTTGAAGAATAGAGCTACCCTAAAAAAAGGTGAGTATCTTTTTAACCTCGACTTGAGGGACTATTTTGTAAAATAGACTTACGTGCTATATGCTACGTGTTTGGGATTGACGTAATGTGAGATGACGTGCGTATATAAGGACGCTAAGGTTGTGCTATGTTTCGGGTGTTTTTTTAGTCTATTTTTGACTTATTTGGTATATGCTTCACTTTATATGCCTTACTTGATTTACTTATATCATGACTCTATGTGCATCTTCACATGCTAGTATTATATAATAGGCATCCCTCTTATGCTATTGTAATATGATTGGATATTATATGTCATGCCTTGCTGTCGTATGACTACTTGAGTAATATTACTCATGCTAGAGATGCACATAGATCATGTCTAGACCTTTTGATGATTTATTTGGACATGATGGCTATTCGTAAATTGAATTATTTGTTGTAGTCATAGTCATGTACGTACTATACACATGCATATACTCATGCATGTTTATCTCTCTTGTCTATATGCATTATATAAATACTTTTATCTTTTGCTCAAACGCATATATCCTTACATATGATTATTTTATATAGACTAAGGTTGTGACACGTGAGTTGTTCATGCATTGAGCGTGCTGGTCACATTCTGTTTTGCTTATGGATACGAACTCATCTCCCTAGGGTCACTCTCCTATGTTTCTTTCTTGGTGGTATACACGCGATACGACACTAGGAGTATTGGGGCACTAGAGTGTTGTTGTTGTAATTGAGTTTTTATATGCATAGACATACTAGACTTTTGCAGAGGTATTCATGCATATCATCCAAGATGATATACGCATATTCGTGCATTCTATATATGCGTGGACTTGTTAACAGGTTGTTGGACACTTGAAGGTTGTCAGATCTATGGAAGAATTGAGACTTCATCGTGTATAGATATTACGGACTCATATAAAGACATCTGAGTTTATGCTACATGTTGCGTAATTCCCTTATATGTGGATTGAGAGCATTTGTATATGATTTTGACCTTGTTATGTGAACAAGTATGCGTAATATCTTTGTCTTGGACTGTGCACCTTACTATTGAGATTTGTTGTATCTGCTGGTTTCTCTATTATTATATATGCTTATAAACTACACAAGTTATATAAAGTGAGTATCTTATGACGAAAATCGTCATTACTTCATTGAGGTTAGTCTTGATATTTATTGAGTACATGAAGTCGGTTGTACTCATACTATACTTCTGCACCCTGCGTGCAGATTTTGGGGTTGAGCTGTTGCGGAACTCGAGGGCGAGCATTGAATACATTAGCGTTCTAGTCATTAGTTGTCATATTGTTCATGCCAGTTTAGAACTTGTATTTCTGTTCATGTATGTTAAAATAGATGATGTATTTTTTTTATATCAATGTTAAAATCGTAATCTTAATTGCTCATGACTTGTAGCACCAGTTCTTGGGTAGCTTGTGTTAAATTTTGCATGCTTAATTTATAACTTACTGGATGATCTCCAGTTTGAGTTATGTGTATGATGGTTGACTTGCCTAACGGGTTAGGTTAGACACCATTACAATCCCAGTTAGATTGGGTCCGTGACAAAAAATAAAGAGTTGTAGGGTTCTACCAACGAATTACTCTACGTCTCTTACCTTCGTTCTTATTATGGGGGTAGACTTGCAGTGCGTAGTGCAGAAACATTAAATAGCAACAAATATAATAGAGTATCACTGCTTTTGATTTTCAACGAGGATGAGAAAACTTGATCAATGAATTGCGCAGACTGTCAAGAGATAAATTAACCCTGAGGATTAATTGCTAGGCTATGGTGAATTCTTGGGAATCCAAAATCCTGACACATTTATGCTTAAATTTGTCATTTCTTGGAAACCGCAATTACATTTCTCCAAGCGTGTATCATAAATTTTGTTATCTCTTCCTCTTTCAGGCAATAAATGCAGCTCAGCCCTTCTCAAAATTTAAAAAGTTCTCAATCTAATTTGGTGTAATTATGGAGAGTCACACGCATTACTTTACTACTAGTTCTAAAATTATTATGGCAATTTTTAGCCTAAAAAGAGTCCATACCGAAATTCTAAAATGTTTTGAACTTAAATTAGAACTTACATTACATAGATCTATGATATCTTAATATTATAATAGAAACAATTAATTAAAGTACAATGCATTATTTGAATGAGAAAGTAATATTGAAGCACATTTAAATAATATATATTAACAATGATATAAAAGGTTCTTTTATCGATTGTCAACACAGAAGATAAAAGATGCCCTTTAACTTAGAAGATAAACCCTTACTATGACAACACAGAAAAGTTATAAGAGCTAGCCTGTTTCGATTTGATAGATACTCAACTGATGTTAAGAAAACACGACTTTAGCGCTATGAATTTGGAAGAGTCCCTTGGGTGTTCATCTGCAATAAGAAGTTTAAGAGTTCAGAATCACTACTCAAATGATAAGAATGATGACAACTGATAACATGCATGATGAAGATAGATGAGTAGAAATAACTGAAGCAGCAAAGACATCATTTGATAAATTCGCCAAATAACGCCAAAGAGAAGATAAAAACAACGCTGCATGCTAGGTTAGGCCTTATCTTACCCAGACAAAAATCTTCTAAACTGCGTGAACAAATTTTTTTTAACACAATCAATTTTTACTTTGTACAACAGACCAAATAAAATCAAGTGAATGAAACCTAGAGCATCAAAATGGAGAATTTTGAGACGCCATTGCAATCTAATGAGAATGAATGAACCCCCACGAAAAAGACTACTACAATTTAAGCCACAAATTAATCCAAGAAATTTGTGCCTTTTTAGTGTCCTTTCTTTGCAAACGTACATAACCTCCAACACTTCGTTATTCCCGCTATGTTTTATTGTTTTCAAGATGAGCTATTAACTGCATATTTGATATTCTATAATCTCTAGTTATGAAAGAACACCTTATCGGCTTATAGTACGTTGTTAGTGTTTTAATGTTGAAGTACTTAATAAATTTTCCAGAACGTTCCAAGTTAGACTTTAAAATAGGTAGAGGGTAATTTGGTCATTCAGTATTTGAAGGATATTTTAGTAAACTAACTTCATCTAAAAATGTTCATGCTTATAATATAGTATGATATTGATAACTCTAAACCCTAAACTCTAAATTTAATATAGTAATATTTTTTAAAATCCAATCTCTCTCTTTTTTATTTTGTATATACACTGTGAGCCTAAAGAATTTTGAAATTATCTAAGGTTTAATTACTTAAGGTTATAATAAATTGTAGGTCAACGTAATCTATGGATAGTCGGTGTATAAATCTTAAAACCATTTTATTTTCATGTTATATATGGAACATAGGCGAGGGTCTATCGGGAACAGTTTTTCTATTTTCACAAAATAACGGCATATATGGTCTGCGTACACATTACCATCCCCACACCCCACTAGGTTTGTTGTTATTGTTACTGTAGTTATGCATGGAACATACTCATTTTTAGAAACTACACTCATTCACTTACATTACATGTGGCCTAAAATGGGGAGCAAGAATTAAATACCTTAGTCTTAAAGTAACTCTATAAAAACCTCCGGGTTGTAACCAAAAGAATACACTACACTTAGACAATTGCATACAAGCAACACTATACCCTTACACTAAAAGAACACAAACCAAAGAGTTGAAAGAGAGTTAATATTGAGAAGATGAAGAAGTTATCAATGGTCTGCATGTTGGTTGTGACATTAGCAGTAGCAGCAATGGCTACTATAGAAGACGACGAAAAAGACTGTGCAGACCAACTCACAACTCTAGCAGCATGCATTCCATATGTGAGTGGCACAGCAAAGAAGCCAACTCCTGAATGCTGTGAGGATACTCAGAAAGTTAGAGCTGCTAAGCCTAAATGCCTTTGTGTTCTTATCAAAGAGAGCACTGATCCCTCTTTAGGCCTTCCTATCAATACTACTTTGGCTCTTCAAATGCCCTCTGCTTGCAATATTGATGCCAAAGTCTCTGATTGCCCATGTAACCAATCCTTCTTTCACTAGCCTATTACTCACTGTCCCATTTTATGTTTCATACTATCATTTTTGGTCAGTTCCAAATGATCGACATAAATGGCAGCCCGGTGCACTAAACTCCCACTATGTGCGGGGTTTGGGAAAAGGTCGGACCACAAAGGTCTATTGTATGCCGTCTTTTCCTACATTTCTGCGAGAGACTATTTCCACGGCTCGAACTCGTGATCTCCTGGTCACATGGCAGTAACTTTACTAGTTACACCAAGACTCCCCTTCCCAAACAATCGATACCTTTTTATATTTAAAAATAATTTTAATTTTAAACTTTCTATCGACATATAATTTTATAGTCAAAAAAATATTTATGGCATGTATTAGATCACAAGTATAAAGGACAGTTCGGTGCACTAATCTCCCGTTATGTGTGGGGTCCGGAGAAGGGCTGGGCCACAAGGGTCTATTGTACGCAGCCTTACCTTGCATTCCTGCAAGAGGTTGTTTTCACGGCTTAAACACGTGAGCTCATGGTCACATGACAGCAACTTTACCAATTACACCAAAACTCCCCTTCTTGTATTAGATCAAGAGGATAAAAAGTTTTATTTTTTTCTTAAACTCCACATCCAGTTAAATAAATTAATGTAACATAGTGTTTTAAAGAATATTGGTTAACTTGAATGGCTAATTATTTGTGTGCAGCAATACTGAAGCTACCAGCAGATTCACCAGATGCAAAGATCTTTAAAATAGCTGGTGCAGATTCCACTTCTACTTCCTCTGGAACCTCAACACCAGCTTCCTCTTCTAGTTCAGCAGGTTCAGACGCCAAGAATTCTAGCACTACAACTACAGGCACCAGTGGGGTTGCAGACCAGAGCATCAGCATAATGTTGACTATGGCACTGACATCAATTGCACTCATCTTCATTTAGAATTTGACCATTCGCAAAAGACTAACTTATGGCCACTTACTGGAACGGATTATTAGCTCTATAGTTAGTTTGGTTTCTTGTTTTGCAATTTTACTTTGGCTACAAGTATTATAATAAAGTCGGATTCAGTGAGCATTTGGGGTTCTTGCCTCTGAAATTTCAACAAACTTCTCTAGTTTCTCTCCTCTTTTAGTGTGTACATTAAAAAGACTCTTTGCAGGATTTTTCTAAGCTCTTCTCTCTCAATTTCGATTAGGGTTGCTCCAACACACCGTGACAACCACCGCCGATCAGTAATTTTAACCACGATTCATCCGTTTTCGCTTCCGCTTCACGAAGAAGTTCTCGTTTTACGATTTACGTTCTAATGTGTTTAGATTAACGTGTTACTTCATTGGTATCAGAGCCACAGGCTGGCATTCTGGTTCGGAGGAATAAAAGATTGTTCTGTCCTTTGTGTAAAACAAATATGTGTATCTGTTTTATTGTGTGCAATTGGAATGCATATAAATTTTATCTACGCTGTTTTTAAGTATAACTTTTAAATCAGTGTGATAAGGCTTCAATACTGATTTGTGATTATCAATGTTTGTAACTTTTTGTTAAATCTGGTGTTAATCGATTTTTATATAGCTGAAACTTATTATTAAAAATAAGGATCAGTTTATTTTGGTTCTACAAGAACAAATCTATCAAGGGGAATCAATTTCTAATGTAACAGTACTGTCCCGTAGCCGCCTGAGTTTCGCTGCCGCGATTGGTGGCTGCCTTCTCAGAGACGTCCAGCATGTTATGTTTTTTTTGTAAAACAGAGAAGAAGAGAAGTAAAGTTCTTTTTTTTCTGCTTAAAAAAATGGAGTTTTGTACTCCATTGCTGCAACGACTAAGAATAAAGGAAGATGAATTAAGATCTCACTATTCCAATTTTTGAAATTAAAAAAAAAAAAAAAAATGGAAGAAGGAGTCTTCAGAAACGTGTATAGCGGCTGATAGAAAGAAAAGAAAGGAGATGAAGCAATGGCTTCACTTATCAAATCTCCAAATAGAGATAGAACTCGATGCTCTTATGGCGGCGTCTCTCATAGAATCTGTAATAATTGGAAAAAAAGAAGAAGGGGGGTAGAGTAGTAGACAGATGCAGCGGCTATAAAAGAAAGTATATGTTTTTCATACCCTTGACAAATTTTCATAAAGTATTACCTTTTAGTAGTAATTAGTTATCCATAGATAACATTTGCTATATTACGGATTATAGATACATTTTCTGTGGTTATAAGATGTATTTGATGCATTTAAGCTATTGTATTCATAAATACAGTAGCAAAAATAGGCGTGAATCAGGGAAATCCAGCTAATCAGTTGTTGTATTCGAGTGTATTCGACTGTATTCATGAAGTAAAATGTGGGATTACAGTTTGACAGATTATTGTATTCGACTGTATTCACGGCGTGAAATAGGGGATTACACTGCTTTTAAAACGGAAAGTAAATCAATTAACATAATAGACTCCTAATATAACTCAACAAACTCAATTATAACACACAAATTTTGTATTTTCAGTTATTAAAAAGATTCTCGACCGAAAAATACACCAAAAATATAGCAATCTCCAGAGAAATTATATAATACATCTGAATACATAAATATATTAATTAAAAAAACATATGAATACATTCATGGCATATAGCGAGACAGTGAATACAATGAAATACATAGAATACAACGGGATACATTGAAATACAATGAAAAAAAGACAGTAAATTCAATGAAATACATGGAATACAATGAAATACATTGAATTACAATGAAAAAAAAAGACAATGAATACAATGAAATACATTGAATTACAATGAAAAAAAAAGACAATGAATACAATGAAATACATGAAAATACAGCATGATACGTTGAAAATGCATTGAAATATATTAACAGAAAAACAAGTTGCTCAGCCCCAAAATCCGTCGTCTTTGTTCAAGAACAAACCCTAATTTCTGACGAGTCCGCCATCGAGCAAAAACCCTGAATCTCACTATTCCCACGCATCTTGTACATTGCTTTTGACACATCAGTACCATCGTAGCTTTTGTACCACTCCTCGCAACTCCCAGGTACGAAGCCATGATCAAACTCACCAATCCAAGTTCAGATTTTCATTTGTATTTATCCAAAAATACCCAGGTACGAAGTCATGATCAAAATCTTGGATCAAACTCTCTTATCTTTATTTATCCAAGAATAACCAATCCAAGTTCAGATTTTCTCACTTTCCAGTAGCTACCTGCATACCCATTTTAGAGAGCCAAAAAAAAATCCAAGATTTTCACATTCGGGCAACGAACCAGAAATGGGCTTTTTCAGCCACGTCGAGTCGAACCAGAAAAGAAATCTCTGCTATAACCACTAGGGCAATGAACAGAGGCAACAATCGTGGTTTTGTGGGAGAATAGAGTAAAGTGTATGCAAAAAGAGAGAGAATGTGGTTTGTGAAATTTACCGTGATTATATGAGAGAAAATCTGAAAAAGGAGAGAGAGAAATATTAATTAGCGTATATGGTGCCTTAAGTGTAGGATATAACTATAATTAGATATTTTGTTATAAAGGGTAAAAGGTAGCTATATAATATAATTTTTTAAAATGATATTTATTTAAAATAAATAGGGTACTAAGCTTTTCTATAGGGTGTAAATTTCCTACTTAAAACAATAGGGATTTGAGAATGATATAGCTGGGCTTCTTTCTCTAGTTGGCAGATTTTTTATTATGGGCTTAAGGCCCACTTTATCTTGTTTAGTTTTATTTTGGGCTAATGGCTTAAATAAAATTCAAATTAACTTCTGTTATTTTTTTTATTTCGAAAATTAGTCATATGACTTAATTTTCAGAATATAAATTTAGTATTTGTATTCTTTTAATGAAACTATAATTGTTTTATTATCCCAATTGCTTGAGATGTTAATTTGTTTAACATTAAATTTATTTGTTAATTTGTTTAACATGCTTGAAATGTTAATTATTTTTGACATTACTTTTGTTAATTAGTCAAGCACATGCTTTATATTAATTTGTTGAGAATGATATAAATATTAATTAGTTTAATATAAGCAATACTTGTTAATTTGTTTAATATGTTAATTAGTTTAACATTAAAATAAATTTTATGTGAATTTGAATAGCATGTAATAAATGTTAATTAGTTTAACATTAAAATAAATTTTATGTGAATTTGAATAGCATGTAATAAATGTTAATTAGTTTGACATTAATTCTATTTACATGCTAATATATGTTATTTGTTAACTTATGATCCACATTGGATTGTAAAATCCTGATTAGATAATTATGTTGTTTTAAACATGACTAAGATGCTTAGCTAGATAATTGAATAGGTTAATTTTCATGATATTTTAATTCTTGGACAATGATTGGGAACATAGTGAACTTTCGACTCCATAATTAATATATGTATTTATTAACTTAATCAATTGATACTTAGTGTCATAATATGTATGTGTGTAGAACATCGTGCCTTGCGTTATTTTTTTTACATGATCCTCATTTAATTTATTATTTTGTTAAAGAATGACTACTGCTTCGAAAAACATTGTTGCTGAGCTCAACAAAGGGTTGAACCTCAATGGTGACAATTATGAAACCTGGAGCTTGAAAGTCCAGTATGTGCTAGAGGAGCAAGAGGCTTTGGAGGCCATCAACAATGTTATGAATGAGCCTGAGGAAGGCAACACTGCTCAGCATAGGCGTGAGCGTGAAGCCTATGACAGTTGGAAGAAAAAGAACTCCATTGCCCGCATTACGTTGTTGAGCACCTTAGATGATGACATTCTAAGGGAGTTTAAGGATCACCAAAGAGCTATGGATCTTTGGAATGCTTTGAGGAAAGGTTTGGTACATGTTCCACTGCAAGGCTGAGATCTTTAACGATCAAATTTGACTCATATAAGAAACGCCCAGAACATTCAATGAAAACACATCTGAGGCAAATGACAAATATGATCGGGGAGTTGAAAGATATTGGTCATGTGTTGACTCATGAACAACAAATTCAAGTTGTCATACGCTCTTTACCTAGTTCTTGGGATCATATGAAAATGCATTTGACCCATAATGAGCGAATCACAACTCTGGAAGATGTCCGGAGACAGCTTGAGTTAGAGGAGGAACGACTTGAGGCTGCAAAGCCAATAGCTGAGTTGCACATGGCAACAACCTCCAAAACAAAGAGTTATTCAAAGAAAAGGAACTGGGGAAAGAAGAGAGGGTCACCTCACGTTCAGCCTACTAAAAGAGCAAAGACTGAAAAAGGCAAGAACAAGCGTCCCAAACGTGTGAAAGTTGATAAGTGAAATGCTATAATTGTGACAAGAAGGGTCACTATGCTAGAGATTGCTCTTAGCCTCCTAGAAAGGTATTTCACAATGCTCGAATTAGTGAACTTTGTGTTTCTAGTTCTGTTTTTCTAACTGAATCTAATCCTTTGTGGATTGTAGATTCAGGAGCAACGGGCCACATAGCCTGGGAACGCAGTGCCTTTGTTGAATTTCGGCGAGGTTCACGTGGAGCAAAGTGGATATATGTAGACAACAACAATAAAGTTGTTGTTGAAGGGATTAGTACATAGAAGTTAGTCCTGCGTGGTGGTCGAGACCAAAACTACACGATGTTCTCTTTGCACCAACAATTCGCCGGAATGTTATTTCAGTTTCAGTTTTGCTTAAGTTAAGATTTGACTTGTTTTGTCATAGCAATTCTGCCAAGTTGACTTTTGGTTCAACTTTATTTAGTTTTGGTCATGTGACCAGAGGTTTAATTGTTATGGATTTGGATTATGTTTCATTTAATAATAATACTAGTTTTTCTATGTTTGTTTCTTCACATAAATATAATAGTGATGTAAACATATGGCATGCTAGACTTGGTCATATTGTCCAACAAAGAATGCAAAGGTTAGCAAAACAAGGTTTGTTTTCCAGCATTGAACA